CAGTCTAACAAGTGAAGTGATAGGAAGGAAAGAAAGACAGGCAGATAAAAGGGCCAATGGTGGAAGGATTTTCCCCTGCCAGATAGCTCATCGGCCTATTTCATTCCTCTATGAGGACTAGAAACTTGTGCAGGATGTGGTTGAGTTCCAGCAAATTTATGGTCTATTCCCCTAAAGCAGGGGTTCCCAAACATTTTGGTTTCATCAGGGGCCATTTTAACCAGGGACCACTCTTAAACATTAGTACTAAAAGGTTTACAAATCAGTTTTTGGTCAACTTAGATTCAGTTTGGTTATTTGGGGTGCTGATTCAGAAAACTGCATTGGATAGACCACATCAGCTCTAGTTTCTGATACAGAACATAGGCCATCCAGTAGTTGCCACCTACTCATCCACAGAAAACATTTAATAATCTATAACTGGTGTGGTAGTTGTAATCTTTTCGTGGATAGTCAGCCTCTCCCTTCCTGACATCCCCGTTGTCTCGGCACTATAAGAGGGTTTCGTGAGACCAGTCACTGTAGTTGCTGCATGATTTCGAGGCAACGGTGAGGCTGCGGACCACATTTTCGTTCTTGTGAGCCACTGATGGTCTACAGACCATTGGTTGAAAACCACTGCCCTAAGGGAAATGCCAGGGTGATTCTAATAATTTTTGCACTAACATCAGTAGCTTAGCCCTGACAAACTTTTAATATTCCTGGGAAGGGAGACTACCATGGAATTCTGCCTCTACATTTGCACCCTTGACTGGTACCATTAGAGAAGTTGTATCATTCAAGAGAAATCTGAATGAAGAAAAGTCTAGAAGAAATACCAATTGCACCAAGAAGGCAAATATAATCACTGGGCAGCTCAGAGAACACAAAGAAGTTAGCAAACACTGGTTCTTGATGTAACTGATTTATCTTTTCCTCAATTTCAACAAGCTGAAACAAAGCAATGTGGTTTTCTGAGTTCCCTAACATTACAGTATTTTTTTTTTTTTAGTAAAAATCAGCTGTGTTGGCTGAAGCTCTTTTCTGTGACAAACCAACGCTTCTACACTATCATAAAGTTTCTGAAGTATTCAAATTGTTGTTTGAATACTTCAAATCATGCGTCCGATTTATTCATCTTGATGGTCATTTTGTTGACAGTGCCGGTAGCCTTGTTTACCATCTTCAATATTTTTGCTCCACTCAGAGCCTGGGTGCTAATTTCTCTCGGCAGCTCAGAATTTTCCAAGAACTGCCTTAAACCAGGATCCTGTTACAAGGTTGGGTGTTTTACTATTCATTGTAGATACCTTTCTAATGCTGCTCTTTTTTCACTACCCTTGCCTACTTTCACCTTGGTCATGCCTACAATACTTTTTTCTGGAGCTGGAGGCACAATGTATCCAACATGCAGGTATGTGGATGCTAATTTGCTCTGAAAGCCTAGAAAGTCATTGAATCTTCTTTTTACAGAGAATTCATTTTGGTGAAACAGACAAACATGTCTTTGTTGTTACTCTATAAGATATGTAAATATTCATGCCATCACCAACTTTCTCTGGATCTGACACATTAATATCAAACAGGTCCCCATTTGCTTCTTATTTATTTATTTACTATATTTCTATACTGCCCTTCTCAGCCCAAGGGCGACTCAGGGTGGTTTACAAAACCAGCACAATAATATAAACAGTTAAAAGCATATAAACATCCCTGAAATTCCATAAACAATAAAATCAATAAAACATAAAACATAAATCCTCCGTATCTAATTTCCAGAATCTTTATCCAATTGCAATTGTCCAGCCGTTCCAAGGTCAAGTAATTATTTACTACACTGAATTTGAGAAAGCCTGCTCACAAAGCCAGATTTTGACTTTTTTTCAGACTGTTAGGAGAGTGGGAGCCAATCTAATATCTCTGGGGAGGGTGTTCCATAGCCGAGGGGCCACCACTGAAAAGGCCCTATCTCTCGTCCCCGCCAACCGAACCTGTGAAGAAGGCGGGACAGAGAGCAGGGCCTCTCCAGAAGATCTTAAATTCCTGGATGGTTCATAAGGAGAGATACGTTCGGACAGATAAGCAGGGCCAGAACCGTTTAGGGCTTTATAGGCTAAAGCCAGCACTTTGAATTGTGCTTGGTAGCAGACTGGCAGCCAGTAGAGCTGGCGCAACAAAGGAGTTGTGTGCTCCCTGAGCGCCGCTCCTGTTAGCAACCTGGCTGCCGTCCGTTGGACCATTTGTAGCTTCCGAACAGTCTTCAAAGGCAACCCCACGTAGAGAGCGTTGCAGTAGTCTATATAGGAAGTAACCAGAGCATGGACTACCACGGCCAAGTCAGACTTCCCAAGGTATGGGCGCATTTGATAGATTCTTCCCTGAATCCCCGAATCTATCAAAATCCACAGGGGCCACTACAATTTTTGTCTTCATTCTGGATGCTATTAGTGTAGTTGGTGTAACAGGAGTGACTGCTGGAGTAGAGTCTGATGAGAATATTGGTTCTCTTTCTGGACTGTCCAAAGAAACTTCCTCTGTAGCTTCAATGAAAGGGTTTCCCCTGCCATCATTTAGTATGATTTCAGCAGGCTTAGGACCATTACAAGGGAGACAAAGTCCAAATTGAGTGGGTGACCGCTGGGAAGGCACGAGAGAGGCAATTTCAGGACAGCAGAACACAACCCTCACAGTGAAGAGGGATGAAATCATCTCTAGGCTTACAAGCACTTCATTAATCCATTTCTGGGCAGGGTGGGGGAGAAGATGCTACTAATTCCAGGAAGGGAAATTCAGAAAGCTGCTGCTAAAGATTTTAATTGCTAACTTATTAGGGAAGGCACACTCACTTTTCAAACTTTGCCAAGACATCAGCCACAATAGTTCTGCTTTCAATGGCTTTTTCTGTGGTTCCATTGTATTCAAACAAGGCAAACATATTTCTGCTGTCTTCCATGGCCAGACCTCGAATTAACTTTTCAACAACCTAGTAGACAAAACCAAAATGAGACAGAACACGTATTGTTGGACCTTAGAAGGTAAGAACAACAAATTGTAAGCAAGGTGAGATTTAGGTCCAAAGGACACAATCCAACAGACCCCACAATTTCGATATTACTATTAGGAACACAAATTGGCACGTTTGGAAGCTACATCAATTTCTCAAGATGTCTGTCAATATGAGAAACACTGAAATATTTCAGAGGACGTGCAAAGAAAAATGGAATTCTGAGTCTTGGTTCTCAAACTGCTTCTTTTGCAACAATACATTTGTACACATTTTCCAAAAATATATACCATATGGTGAAAAATGTAATCGTATCTTGGAATGAAGATATGAGACATGACCCCCTGTAGTTTATCACAATGAATCCTTGCTGCATCATCTCACCTCCCCAGCGGTGGTGTGGGAGTTAATGGTGATCTTACAGGAGCCACCACCATGACAGTAGACTGTAGAGGTCATCTCCTGTCTGTTGATTAAAGCTCCAATTTCACTCCGGGAAGGCACAAACTCTCTGCCTTTAGTTTTCTTAAGAGAGTCATAAATGAAAAGAGCATATTTTTCCATTTCAGTGTCTGGAAACTGGTCGTGTACCCTGTTGGGACAAACACGAGAGTCAACTTCATGCTGTTTCTTTAAAATTGGTAATATGAGGAACTTTTATAACATTACACTTATATGAATTCAAATATGGGCGGCAATTTTCTTTACTAACTACTCTCTGGAGTGAATCGTACTGGATGCTGTCCAGTATCCTGCCCCAAGAACACTTTAGTAATCAAGATTAATGTGCTGTAATATTATTTTCATTTATTATAATTATAATTATAATATTTGTATTATTTTCATTTATTTTTAACCCACATTTTATCAATAGATTTAAACTTGAATTTTATCTCTATCTTGTCCTTTAATAGAGTTTTATCTTTGTTTTAACTATGTACACATCTCTCTATCCAAAAGGAGAGGTGAGTAGTAGTAGTAGTAGTAGTAGTAATATACCACCAAAGAGGGAGAGCCCACCTTTTTCTGAAGTGGCGCAACGGGTTAAACTGTGAACTGTTGAATCTGCTGATCTAAAGTTTGGCAGTTCGAAGCTGCAGGTTGGGGTGAGCTCCCACTGTTAGCCCTATCTCCTGCCAAACTAGCTGTTCGAAAACATGCAAATGTGAGTAGATTAATAGGTACTGCTTCTGCGGGAAGTAATAAGAGGTGCCCATGCAGCCATGCTGGCAACACAACCAGGAAGTGTCTACGGATACCAAGCTCCTCAGCTTGGAAATGGAGAAAGAGCACCTCCCCATGGCCAGAGTTGAGCACTGCCTCCGGAAGCCGGAAATGAAAGGGGAACCTTTGTTCTGTGTATTTGAGTGTCATTGTTATTTCACTGTATTAAAGGCATGAATGTTTGCCTATCTGTTTCTGTTGTAATCCACTCTGTGTTTCCTCGGACACAGTGTATTTGTTGTTGTTGTTGTATTACATTTCTTTGTTACATTTATTTTCTGTTTATCTCTTCACTCCGGTTCCTTTACTTTCTTCCCTCTATATCCTGTTACACCCGGAGTTAATTACAGGGCCAAAAGTCACAATGGGGTCTGATGTTTGAACAGCTTTTTGGGAAAAAAAAACTGAAAAGATTTTACAAGTAACGTAATGAAATTTTATTTCCTATGTATACTGGATATAATACTCTGCTATGGTATTGTAAAAAAATAAAAAATAAAGGAATTATTAAATACTGAAACTCCTTTGTGACTTTTGACCTGAATTATAAGATTAGCTTCTGAAAAGGAGCACAATAACAGAACGGCAATATATCTTCTTCCTATTGTTTTCCTCATGCAACTTTCTCAGATCATCTCTTTCACTTTCTAGCATGACAAGAAAAATATTTTAGGGAGCTTTGGCCCCACAAATAAACAAATTCTAATATACTGCGTGTACCAATTTATCTGCTTACCTTTTCAGGTGGAATTTCAGGTACTTGAGAATACCCCGGCTTGGAAGAAACATGCAACTCATGCATGTGAGGATCTGCCAGCTGTACAGATTGCCCACACTCCCTGGGTTAGGGACCTTGTTTGTCTGTTTGATGAGCTGACAATACAGCTCATCTCTAAGTGGCCGTAAATCATGTCCCGTCTGAAGAATGCCCTGAATGATAGGAATGGGATCTGACACAGACTCCAGTTGCTGCAGAGAATTAAAGATCTTGATAGCTTCATCCTGAAGAGTAGTGTAGCCTTTTTCTTTGAGCACTAGAGAATGGAAAAATGGAAGTGTCCCTTAAATCACCAGCATTGGCTTTCAAGCGAGGCAAGTATTTAATGTACAGTATCTGAACAGTTTAGCCTTTCATGATTACAAAATTCAAGATGAACAGATGTTTAGCATGCTTTCTTAACTGGAAAAAATAAACTTTTTGCATGCAAGTCTTGTTTGAACTAGTTAGCTTGATAAGGATTTGGGAATAGAATCATCCTGTGTGAATTTCAGATTGTGTTTGTAATATCTCTTTTGACTTCTTATCAAAGTTTTTTTTACTAACATTTTGGTCTTTAGTTTATTTAATTTGAAGCTGAAAAATTCACCAAATGTTTCTATTTTACGCAGCCATAGATTGATGTTACCTAACGGATTTTCTATGATGCACACTACGTCGTCAGCATACACTCTCATTTTAAACTGTTGTTTTAATATTTTCATGCCGTTCAATCTCTTATCATCGTTTATGTTTCTTACAAAGTTATCAATTATTAATATAAACAGGAGCAGCGATAATGGGCATCCTTGTCATGTTCCTTGTGCGATATAGATTTCCTGGCCGTTTATTATTAATGTTGCTTCTTGTGTTGTATATACTGCTTCTACTGCATTTTTGAAGTTATTCCTGATGTCTAATTCCTTTAATAACAGTTTTAGATAGTCCGAATTAACCTTTTCAAAAGCTTTTTCCACATCAATGAAGAGCAGTGCTAATTGTTTTTCATTATGTTTTTCATTGTATTCTATCATGTTAATCAAGATTCTTATGTTGTCCTTTAATTGTCTGCCTGGTAGAAAACCAGTCTGCTCCTCTGAAATATTTTGAATCTCTCTGCCAAAATTATTGCGAAATTTTTGTAATCATTGTTTAGTAATGAAATGGGCCTGTAATTTTTGGTCTCCGTCGGGTCTGTATTTTCTTTGTGAATTAAAGTTATGTTTGCTTTTTCCCAGGAATTACTGGGAGCTATTCTGAGCTGAGCACATCAATGACCTTTCTTAATTACATCTACTATTAAGGAACAGTAGCAAGATCATAAAAAGACTACACAAGGGACTCTAGCAAGGTAAAAGCATGTAAAATGTCAGTTGATTTTTATGAATATGATTATATGATTTTGCAACAAGGAGAATGAGAGAAAATATATGATGGACGTACAATTTAGATTGATGTCTCCATACGGAAGAGGCAACAATGGAGAATGCAGTGGATGTTGTGTGTAACGAAGAATAGGGTTCCTCTTATATATCTGTTCAACCACTTCANCCACTTCAGGGTTCAGGCAGTTCTCCTGTGTAAATGCGCAAAAATCAGAATTATTTGCAATGCAAGTGTGAAAATAATCCACTATTAAATGCTAGTGAAAGTTCAGCAGTAAGTTATTTAAATACAGTTCCAATGAGCCTGCCAAGAAGAACTGTCTTGTATTTAAATTCTGCTTGAAAATATTTCACAGGAAAGTCTGCATTCTTAAACATTTGCACTGATACCTATGTAAATTTTGGGCATTTGTCCCCATGATAGCTTACACTATAATATTTAAACTGACACAACAAAGCTCCTATAACACTATGTAACACAATTTTTTTTCCTCTGGNCTCAGAGATTGTGAGGCGGTGGTTGTTGTTATTATTATTATTATAAAAGTATATTCAGCAGCCTGACATCATAGGTCTGATTACCAAAACAGACAACCACAAAGAAAGAGGAATCAATGCTTCATTTCCTGGATCTTTGTTATGATAACCAGATCACCATGGTTGCTTCTCTGTAGTACCAGATGCTACCATTTTTTTGAGAAGAAGCATGGCTTGAGAACAATGGACTCTGACTCTGTAGACCAGGGTCAAATCTTCAGTTGGCCATGAATACCTACTGGGGGACCTTTAGCAAGTCACGCAAAACAATAACTGTAATCTGATAACAGTTGAATGACAGAGTGCTGGGATATGGCAGAGCTATCTGGGCATTATCAATAAGGGTTGCTACCGTTGTCAGAGACATGCTTCTTTTCAGACTATATTTTAAATAATGCCATTGGAGGACAGAAAGATAAAAATGTGAATGTCATTACTCCTCCTTACTATTACTATGTCCTCCACCACCATTGCTACCATAGTGTTTGTTATTCTGGGGCCAACTCTTTTGGGACACATCATTTCAGTTCAGCCCATTTTCATTTTAGTTCATCCCTATCCTCTTCTCAACGATCTGATAGCATTCTCTGCCAACTATGCATACCTAATCCTTCCTGTGGTGTTTTCATTCTGGTGTTACCACAGTCCTCCTCACACCAATGTTTAGTTTTATAAACAATATTTTTCTTTTAGACCATGGAATTTCCTTAAGCCTGCTGACATTTGGCCCTTGTATACACATGGTGTTGTTTTGTCTACATAAGAAATCATAGTTTGATAAAGTGCATTGTGGATACAGAGGGCGTTCTGTATCTAGTGTATTATGTGCTTCTTCATAGAACCATGTGGGTTATATTTGAAAGAGGGTAGCATATGGGGAAGGCTAAGGGTAGTAGTACATGAACATCTCTGCTACTGTGCTTTTGGGACAAATTAAGTGGGAAAGCAATCATTCTCACCTCTACTTCTGAACCATTTACAAAATTATGTTATTTTTCTCAATGGATGGAATGAATATGGTGGCTATAGCCTCACCTTAATGTCTTGAATAAGCTGCTGTGTGGGAGTGTCAATTGGGGCTTTTGTGTCAATCACGTTCTGGATAGCACTTGCCCAGCGGGTAGCTTCATTAAGCAGCTTAGTATAGAGGCGGTAGCAATGCTTGCGTCCATACACAGTCACATTCCAGTAGCCTTCAGTGACAGGAAGTAAGAAAATGTAGCATTCATTAGGTTTAGACTACTAGTAGACACTTCTTGAAGCAGGACTATCCAAATCATTTTAACAATTCTACGCAAGCCAGAACTAACGAATCTGATCTATCATGAAATGCAAAGTTTAGTGCACAGATTTGTAACTACATTATTGCAGCAACTCTCTATATTCTGTTACACCTTTACATTGTGCAGATCATAACAATGAAAATCCCAATACTCTGTGAATTTAAATTGAACAAATGGAAGACAGTTTATGAAACCTTCCATACAAAATTATTTCCTGCCATTTCGCTTAAGCAAATATGCCTGAAATGAGCCCATTGTTTTAGATCCGTTTGAGCTGCAAAGTATGTTTAAGATTATTCCTCATACTAATAATAGTCATATTAGATGCATCATGGAGAAAAGAGCTCATGAAAAGTGAGTTACCTGTCTCTTTAAAGAGTTTCTCATCAGGGGGCACAACAGAGCACAGGCTGTTTAGCACCAGGGTGCCCAACTTGAGAGCATTTTTCTCTGAGCTCTTGTAATAATCCAAAGAATTGTGCGTCAGGACAAACCACCGCTTCTTCAGTTTCAGCAGAGTCATCTTCGGCGTGTTCTTAACTTCTTTGTGCAGCCATCCTAGTCATCAGAAGAAATTACACTTCATGAATGAAAGCTCTTCTGGAACAGTGTCAAATTTGTCTTCCGTTGTTGTGATATTCTCAAAGATATACCCAGAAAAGTGGTATTTACAACAATATTAAACATGACAAGTACCATGCATTAGGTTTTGTCGTAATATCTCTTACCCAAAGCACTTGATGTAGGAAATAGCAACCTTCCCATCCTAGTCATCCGGAAATAGCAACCTTCCCAAGCCTCCACTAGTTATTTGCTATGTATATAATTCAGATTGCTTACGGTATTGTTTATGTGTGTATTGCTTTGCAATTTTACCTTAACTCTTTATTATGGGAGGGGCTGCAGACCATGTGATCAGACTGAGATTGTTCAGGACTCAGACTCCATTTTTTAGAACAGTATGCTTCAGATTTCAGTAGGACCTGTTTGCTTTCAGACACCAGCAGGACTTCAGTAAGAACAGTATACTGTACAGAAGCCATTAGACGCCATTGGATTTGAGGACTAGACAGAGACTATTGGACTATTGATTCTAAGAAAGATGCTCTGTGGTACCCACATAGAGAAACTACTTCAAATCCTGTTATTAACTGGATTGATATGCAAAGTACTTGTATGCTGAATACATGAAGTTTGTAAGCCAACTATGTTACTTTTAAAGAAGTCTACTTATTTTTGTCTCTTGAGAACATGATTTAAAGGCATATATATTTTAAGGGAGAGTGGATGTTTTTGGGCAACTAAAATAACATTTCTGAAACTCTGCTGAATTATGTGTGTGTGTGTGTGTGTGTGTGTGTGTGTGTATGTATGTATGTATATGTCTGTGCATTGGTATATCTTTGTCCCTAACAGTTCAAAGAGATATTTAGGGTATCAGTTGCCTTGCATGAATGCCATTTCCCCAAAAGGTTATGTCTCTAACAGGTCATGCTTTTCCCAAGAGGTTATTACATCATTTTTCAAAAGGTTGTGACTTCTAACAAGATCATGCCTTTCCAAAGATCTTTAAATCCCCAAAAAGCTATGGAGATTTTCATTTTCCAAAACTTGAGATAAAAATAATTCATTTCTGAATATATGTACAGTTTGCAGGGTAGGTTGTGATGTATGTATAAAAAAAAAACCACAATAAAAACAGTGTTGGATTATGTCTGTTAGTTTGAGTGTTGGACCATGACTTTGGAGACTCCACTCAGCCATGGAAACCAACCAGGTGTCCCTGAGCGAGTCTCATTTTCTCTACCTTAAAGACAAACACCTTCTGAATACATGTTGCCAAGAAACTCCCATGGAAGGCTTGCCTTATCATTGCCATAAGTTAGAAACGATTTCAAGGTACACAACATGAAGCAATGGAATGGTGTGTCTCTCTGTGTGTGTATACACCCACACACACCCACACACAGAGTGTGTTAACTAAACTATTTCTCCATCCATTGCTCATCTCCCCTTAGCTCGTAGTTATCAATAAGCCATCTTTCAAGCAAGGAAATTTCATTCTATTTTAATAGTTATATATTGTAGTGTTTAAATGATATTGTTCTTAGCGTTTGAGCTGCTTTGAATCACATTTAAGAGGTGAATGTGGGCTATATATATA